TGGTGACCGTGTCCGCCAAGGCACGATGGGACCGAGGCTGCCATGGTCAAGGTACCGGACGCGGACAGGCGGATGATGGGAGGAGGAGGAAGAAGGTGCGTGTCCCATAAAATGGACTGCATCCTTGGCATGAGACTCCGCGGTCGGGTAGCGGTTACGAGAAAAGTCTTGGGGTGATTGATCTCCGCCATCGATGGAAGGAGCGCAAGGGGCAAGCACAGACGAACAAAACGAAACGGAACAAGGAGATGTAACATACCAACCAAGGATCCAGATGCTGGCAGTCGACGATGATTTGCTCAGCCCGTGCGATTGGTTGAAAAAGGGAGTCGTAGGAGATGACAGTTGAGAAAATTATACCAGTCGGTGCTATGTAATCCACCAATACGGATCGGGGAAGGATGGCGAGCTATGACCGCGCTCCTGAAGCGGGGTTAGATGTGCAAGGTAAGTGGGTATTTTCGGGCGGATCAGGTTGCGGAAAATGTTTGCGTATGCGCCGGCATGCCCGACTCCATTCCCCTTCCCGATGCTGGGGTATAACGGGTACATCTCCGACGCAGAATTACGAGCAGACCTGACAAAATATGCTCATACCCAAGTATCTGTGTCGCTCAAGACTCATAGTATCGCCGTGCGCTCGGAATTTATCAACGGCGATCAAAGAACCAACTGCTCCCTCTTCGCGCTTGGACTACCGTTTGCCTCTTGCGCCTGCAGCCACTCAATACAGGCAGATTAGGACCTGCGCCGTTCATTTGCTCGTTCGCGCCGCCCCTCGTAAGGGTTTTGCTATCCCGCGACCCTGCTCCTCCAAAGTTGAAACCGACAGGGTTGTTAGATGCTAATGACATGTTACGCGTGGAGCGGTGCTTGCGCGGCTTCGAGTCGCTCTTTGACTGCAGTGGTTGTGGCTTCGAACCTAGAGAAGATGTGGTAGTCAGCTGCTTGCTCTGCATTTGCAGTGCTACGTACCTGTGGTTCGCTGCCGTCAACTTTTCTTAAAACTATCCTGCAGTAGTGCCTCTAAACTCATAATTCGCTCATTTCTTGCCATCAGCTTCCTCTCCGCAATCGCGACTTCTTTTTTGGGACTTCCGTTCTGCTCAACAAGTTGTCTTTGCACATGTGTTAGCTGTTCTAGATTTCGCTCTAGAAGGCCATCTTCTTCTGCTGTGCCCGGTTGTTGGATGATCTGAGGACATTGTTATACGCTCGCGGGTCTCGTCTAAGGATATCTCGAGCTCCACCACACGTTCGCAGCGATTTTGAAGATCCGCATCGGCGACTTCTTCATGACGTCAAAATCGGCGATCTGCTGTTGGACAGTCCTGCTGGTTGCTGTCGGTTGAGTTGCCCCATTGGTCCTGGGAGCACGTTGAGATTCTTCGACGCTCATTTTCAGACGATGATTCTCCTCGTCCTTTCGCGCCAGGTCTTCTCGCATATCTTTGATCATTTGAGCTTGTGTTTCCCTCCTGCTGGTGTAGGGTTCTGACAGCCTGCTCTTGACCTCGTCGATGTCCGCTTCAGAGAGTTGCGCTCCATTAGCTCTTCGTACTCCTGTTCGACGGTCGCTAGTCGCTCAACGAGATCTCTTCTTCGGTCTCGATCGTCACCTAGCTCTGTTGTGGCATTCGAGCTCATCCCTTGCCGAACGATACCTTCCGCTTCGACCAGTATGATCCTCAGTTCCTGCGGCTCGTCAGGCGGAATCATCTCCCGCAGCGCTAGTCTCATGAAGGGCGTCGACCTATTGTATGCATCTTCGGATCTTGCTTTCGTTGTCTGAGAAAGAATCATCTCCCATCTCGAAGCCAGCCATCATCTGTGCCATTGTTTTCCGTTTTTTCTTCTCCTTTTCATCGAGAACACCGTTCGTCTCCTTGGCGCTCATTCTTGCGTCAAGCGGCTGCTGCTGACCTCGTCCAGCTCGGTGGTAAGTTCCGAGTTGGCTTCCTTCAAGCCGTCCATGGTAATGGCAGCCTCTTTACTCTCAAACGCTACTCTCTCAAGCTGCATCTTCATTTCGTTGACCTCGCTGCCAAGCTTCTCATTTATTCTGCCTGTTCGAGAGCTTTGTTCTCTTTCAGAAATTGAAGCTCTCCTTTTGCCTCTTTTAAAGCCTGTTCTGCCGTAGATAGTTGAGATTCTTTCTCGGCCACCTGGTCCTGCAGCTCGTTTTCTCGTCGCAAAAACTCCTCTCGTTCGTCCTTTTCGAGTACAATGCTAGGAGTGGAAGCTCGATCTCCAGTTCTTGATTCCGATCGGCTGGGTGTCTCCTGACCTGCCAATTTCTTGCAATCTGGATGGTGTGCCTGGTCTGCCAGGACGCGACTCTGCTCGAGCACCGGCTACTCCACCAGCAGCTAATGGAGGAGCCCATTTCTCTTTTGGGAACTGGCTCCCCGCTGCGCCATGATTGGACCTCTCCTTCTAAGCTTGAGACGTAGGCCTCATACGTCGTGACTTGGTTTTTGCGCTTTCTTCAGCAGCTGCTTCATTTCAGTGGACTGAGCTCAGCGTTGATCTTGGCCTTGTTCTTGATAGCCTTAGCCCTGACACCAAACCTCAGTGTACTTAGGGTCTCTTGATCGTTATAGCTGCTTGGCGAGCAATTGATGATCAAGGTAGTCCTGGAATTACCGCCCAGGGATTCTTGCAGAATCCGAGTGAGCTTCGAGTCTCGGTACGGTATGTGTGTCGATTTGCCGTCTGTGAGCGAGTTGATCACCATTCCCAGCGCTCAAACTCTTGTTTATTTTCTTAGCTTCTTCAAGCGTCTGTCCACTGGCACCTGTCTTCCCAACCTTTTCGCTACCAGCAAGATCGACGAGGAAGAGTTGCCCGCTTTTTAGCTGAGCCTGTCTCAACATTCTTCTGGGTGATGGTGATGACAAAGATCGAATGTGACCGTGAAGACTCTTGGTTCATGTTCGTCGCAGCCTGTAGCCCTGGCAGCACCTCCTCTCCTCATGACCTCGTAGACTTCTTGGACACTCGAGACGTAGATTTCAAGAGGCCCTTGACATAGACTCCCCTGCTCTTCTCTTCGTGTATCGGTAAATTGTCATTCTGAGGTACCAACAGATCCCGGATTTTTTCCATATAGATCTCCATATAGCTAACCCGAACGGTGTACTCAATGTTCCCAGGACTCCTTAATATGCTGGTAAACATCTGCTCCACTATCCGGGGTATGATTCCTCTTTGATCCTCATCGTCAATATCGGCGCCCATCATCGTGTAGGATTTGCCCGCCCCAGTCTGCCCATAGGCGAAGACCGTGCCATTGTAGCCATTGAGTATGTCGTCGACCGTAGAGCGGATTGAGAAGTCAAAAACATCTGTTTGCCGCGAGGTTGTGTCGAATACCCGGTCAAAGGTGAATGCGCCGGCTGCTTCATGAGACTGCGGATAGCGTTAGCCATGGTATTCAATTGCCAATGTTCCCTCAACAAACAGCCATGGCAGCTATAAGTACAAAGGACTAGTGCTTCTTTGCGTACATTGATGCTGCATGTATCATCCGTCTCGAAATCCACTATTTGATCTCCTCCACTCGCTAGCTCTGCCTTGTTCGGGGGACGAAACCGCGCAACCACTGTGCAGAGAATATCAGCTCTCGTATCGGCCGTACATTTACCTAATAGTATGTCGGTACCTTTTATTGTGTTTCCTGCATTCGCGGCGCTCCTGAAATGTTCGTGTCAGTAGGGGCTGCATGTGCGACGTCTTCCACGGCACTTACGCCATGGCGAAGGGCTTAGTCCAAGACCACCGACGTCCCTATGCTATCTCAAGACCCTTCTGGCGAGTGGACAGCATGGAAGTCTACAAAGACCAAAGCAATCGGTGGTGCTGATATCTGGAGGCAGAAGGGGGCATTTTGGTCCAAGGGTGCCGTTTTCGGGGTGACGCGCTGATAAACATCCACTAGCGTCGTTTTAGGAGCAGCGATCATGATATCAACACTTCATTTTAACACAAAATCGAATCAGTCATGGGATCATATGCGTGAATATAGAGAATTGCAGTGTATCTAAAGGCTTTATGTTTACTATGCTCGAACCAAAGCTTCGGGACAGGTTCTATGCGCAATTGCGGTAGGCCGCATGCGGTAATGCAAAAGAACCCGTCTCCGTGCATCCTTGCTCACAGGGTCTCTTGTTTATGAATGATGCTTCGTATGATTCGCAGCTTGGACTGAGCGTCCTGCATTGCGAAGACCGCCAACGCCTCTGCATCCAAACTCCACGCTCAATCATGACATCAAGATGCCCATATAGACAAAACTCTTTTGACCCCATAAATTTCCTCGTTTCAAGATACACCAGTGCGCCTGCTCTCTCAGGAGCATGCTTGAGTATGATCCAAACTTATGATTATCCTCCCTAATCGTCCCAGCTCTTCTCCACTGTTTCCCGAACCCCTTTTCGTGTACTCACGGCGGTTATCTTTGTAGAGGTTCGATGCTTCGACGTTGGCAGGAGATGAAGTATTGGGATCGTTGAGTAGACTAGACGTGAGTTGTTAGCATCTATAACATGCTTGCAAGACCTCCGCGTACCTTTGAATGCTTGTCAAAATCGCAGCCACGTCATACGTAGGACTCCACCTGTTCTGCAAGATATCCAAGCACAACTCTCCCGTCCCGTAGACATTTGGGTGAAACATTTGGCTGATGAACTTGACTCCTGGTGGTTTATTGGGATACTGCTCTTCAAAATGCATGACTAGACGGAACGTCCCATCTTCGAAAGGTGTGTCTGCAGGTCCTATAATCACAGCATTCCTTTGTTCATAGAAGTGAGCCCATTTGGCCCCACCCTGTCTGCACGAGTAGGGATGCGTACCAGGTCATGACATTGTCGGCGATAGGAGACGCTGAGACACCTGCTGGTGGATCTGTTTGCATACGCTAAGTCAAAACGTTTATTAGCTCAAGCAGTGACCCAGGCCCCATTTGTCGTTTTGGAGGATCAGCAAAGCCAGCAATAGGTAGGATCAGAAGACTTATTGGGGCATAGTACTTTGAAATCACGCATGAGGCGTCTACGCGCCGGTGTAGTCATTTTCTGACTTGAACTTGGACTTGGACTTGAAGCTTCACTTGGGATGATGGAAGATTGCACTGATGTGGGATGCGTGAGAGGTGATGGTTGGGAGGTGTTCGTGTTTGGGGCGTGACCCTCATGCGAGCTCCCGAGCAATTCGCCGCTTCGGGGAATTGACAGACTGCCGGGACCTCTCGCCAAGATCGCCAAGATCGCCAAGACTGCCAAGATTGGCTGACTCGACAGTCTATCAAACGCAAGGTTTGATGGTAAAACTCCTTTTGTACGAGATAAACTTCCTCATTACATGTACCTATTGCTACTCTTCAATTCTCTTATCGATAATTCGAGTGTACAATACCAGGCATCGTCGATGTAGTGATCGGTTTTGAAACCTCCCATTGCGGTGGCGCTCTGACCATCCGAAATTAGTATCTCCATGCATCATCATTTTCGTGCTGCATGACGCCTTCAAACCGGACGATTCAATACAATGGATCTGGGCCTCTGTAGATCTTTTTCACCAGTCGGCTCCACGACGACAACGGAAAGGAGCACGTGCCTGGGCTGAGCGCAAAACTCGGTCTCGACAACTCTGCTGCCGATTACATGTGAGGCAGACTGTCAAATAGTGTGGACTTTGGCGCGCGCCCGAGCGCTCACTAACCATCTCTTCTACCCAACAACAATACTGAGCCACTGGGATAGAACGGTTCCATCCGTGGGGCCCATCAAGCCTCGATCCTTTCTCCAGAAGCTGTTCCAATATACCGAGCACCGATCACTTTCCCATCGTCGATCCTCACGATCTCTTGCATGAAGGGCATCCCATGCAGAGCCTGCCCTTTCCAGACTAGCACGAGCATGAGCATGAGCATGCATCACAGCAACCAATAAGAAGAACGTAGCCATGCCCAAAACCCAGCCGACTCCAACAGCTTCTAGCCACTGCTCTAAAAAGAAAGGAAAAGAAAGCGTTAGTGCGGGTGGGTATACGTTCATGACCACAATGATCTAAGTGCATGACCAAAAAGGCACTCAGCATAGTTGATGCATACAGGAACGCATAGAACGGCAGAGAACTTGGCTACAAAAGTTTCCAAAGTTGGTACCATGCAGTACGTGATATTGGAGCTCAGCGCCCAAAACACTGATTAGGGAAAGCGTTGCAGAGAGGAATATGCTCCGGAGAAGGTACTCCGCATGTCATCTTATCGCATCTCATGCCTCGAGTAGCCCCCGGAGAGAGTCTATCGTCCAAGAGGGTACCCGTGAGTTGAGTAGCAAACAATTCTACTCGGATGATGAATGTGAGTAGGTTGACAAGTGAAACAAGCGATGGTCATCTCCTTTCAGCAGCTTTTTTCCCTCTGCAAGGATGTGCAACGAGATTTAGGTTTGCCCATGATCTGCAATTTAGAACGGCATGAAGCTATGTCCTCCTTTGCTCACAGGACTTTGAAGAAATAACACAGGTTCGGTGCAAAATTGGATATTACAAGCAAAAATGATGAGCGTGTATGAGCCCGTCAGGATTATCGCTGGGGTCACACGATGTTGAAAGGCAAAAGTGCGCCTTTTTAAGCTTACTAGACAGTGGCGTCGTGTCGGCCCGCTTGCTGCAGATGTGAGAACCCATCGAACCCGAAATTCAGAACTGGGGCACTGTGGAAGTTCCTGGAAAGAACGATCCAACTGTGTTGGCAAGAAATAGAACGGGTAGAGTGTTGCCGGTTGGTGAGTCTCATCCTTTCCTCATGAGAGAGGAGCAAGGTAGTCTTCATTTAGGCCTCAACGACATCGGCTTGCAGAGCGCTGTCGGTGGTCGTCGTTAGCAACAAGGAGGAAGAGTCGGACATGAAGGATGTCATGTTTGCCAACGAAGTTCTCAGGAGCTCGCCAAACCCATCGTATTCATAATCGGTGAAATCGCCAGGTAGCCGCTCTCTGGGTCGGCACTGAGGGGTTGATGTGAAAGCCATCGAGTTGGGCTGGAGATTGTGAAAGTCCGAGCGCTCTCCAGATTCCATGAACCCGACATTAGCGTCATAAGATGAAGGCAGGCGGAAAGCCAGACCCGGTGCCGGTGCCGATATCAGCGACCTTCAGTCCCGGCTTCAAGGTTGGATGATCGTAAATTGTAGCCCGCATGATCCTTTCAAGAAGTGTTGCAGATTTGGTTTACATGCAATTGTCGGAATTTAGCTTACGCGACATGAGATCAAACGGGTCGGAATGCCCAGCATGTAATCGCAAGTGTATCGATCTAAGCTGCTCGCCAATTTTGGCAGTGGGAGATAAAGATGTTAAGACTTTAGGATAATATGAAGAGAGAAAGCAGTTGAGACGGTCTCTTCCATGCACTGGATCATCTCTCCTCAGTGCTTCACGGATTCCAGTTGTAAGGAACTGAGTACATTTTGACACTACGGGTTTTAAACAGAAATGTATATTTAGCGTGGTATATCAGCCTTACCTTTGGACCCTAGGTAAGGTACACTAAGAAAAATGGTGGGGCCGAGGGAGCTTATTCCTCAACATGGTTAACAGCAATGGCTGGGTGGACCCGCGCTCCGTTTCGACGAAAGCACAGTGAGGAAAGAGCAGGCAATGAGATCTCAGGACAAAACCAAGCGAGTTACCGTCTACCGACAACGATCGAGCTAGAGGAACGCGTCACAAGCCAGGTCCAAGAGGGACGGGCGGAGGCGCGACCAGGGAGGCCGCGAAATGCCACTGAAAGCCCCACAACTGGTATCGATACAAGCCACATCAAGCGACTGCAGCATTGGTGGTCTCACAACGTCCGCTTGAACCTCGAGCATGGCGCGCCAGGAGGTGACCCCCGTGACTACCTCGCTCTCGAAAGGACGTTTCTGGGCTGGTTCAGGACATCCGTTGCTCTCGTCTCGCTTGGCGTAGTCATTACCCAATTGTTCGTCCTGAAGGACGTCCACCCTAGGAAAGGTAGAACTCTTGGAGCTATCCTGTCTTGTGGAGGGATCGTAGTGGTTCTACTGGGGTGCGTCAGGTATCTCAAGCAGCAAAGACTCCTCACCCAAGGAAAGGCGCTTTCGGGAGGCTGGCATCATCAGGTTCTAATAATAACCCTATTAATTGTTCTGATCACCCTGTTCGTGGTTGTGGTTGCTGATAGCTAATGGTCATTGCCTTGTCCGTTGCCACAACTTTGCCTCCAAAAAGGAAAATTGTGCTTCTCAAGCCTTGGTTCCTGTCAAAGAGCAGCTCTCTGTTGGGGAGCCGCTACTTACGCCCTGACTATCAATCTAGATCCCTGGCCAAGTATCTGATCTCAGCTTCAACCCTCTCTCCACTCATTTCTCTCGTTCTGGATCCCTGATGGCTGTACTAATAAGCCACGACGGTCTGATGCGCTAGTGTCTCTTTCCTCTGGCTGAGAGCTAGCCGCTTGCCCTTCAATCTCTGGTGGAGGTTCATCGTGATACGCGTCTACTATTCTTCCACGGATATTGTCCCCATCTCCGTTACCACTGCTGAGGCCATTATCCCGCCTTCGGCGTCCGTGAGGGAGGAACGAGCAGTCCACGCGGACGAGAGGAACGGGCTTTGTGTTCGGTAGAGGACGAGCATCAGCAGCTAGCAATGGCAGTTAGCAATTTGCTGTTGATACCAGAAAGACGCGATGGGGCGAACTGGGCGCCTAACCTTGAGCAGAAAAGCCACAACAGCAACCAAGAGAATCAGTCCGCCAGTGACTTGTTCCATCTGTCTCCATCCACCAAGGCAACTGCTGCCTCTACCAAAAGCTTCGACACAAGCTCTGGCGGTATGGCTCCTATCCGGAAATGGCCATGCTCTGTCCTGGACGTTACGAAAACCACAGCACTGAAATTGCTCTTGAATTCTCCGAATTGCGTCCGCGTTCTTGCTCGAGAATAGGGCGCCCCATTGACGCTCTAGGCCGCAGATCAACTCGCTTGGGGAGCGACATGAGTGAGAGCTAGTGTAGCAATCACAGTCTCGTAGATGATGAGCAGCACGAGAACAATTAGAGCAGGCCAGGAGAAGGACATCTTGGCACGTGCATTGGAGCCATTTTCGCGGATGCGCAACCTTTGAGCGCCACGTAGAGTGACGCCGGTTATTACGGGTAGGATAATGGTTGCTGTGGCGGTGACCGTGGAGATGGGCAGCGAGAATGCTCGGATCCTGTACAGGGCGATGCTGCAAAGCAATTAGCACTATTCTACGTGACAATAGAAATGGGGTCTGGACGAACCCGCCAGTCACCACAAGTCCGACCAGGAGCTAGGTTGACGTCAGCTGAGACAAACGTTCTCCTCGCACTCAGCTCACCACGGGAACCAGAAAAGAGAGCGCTTGGGATGATGAAGGCATCTTTGGCGTGTTCTCTCAATTAAAAGTTACGATTCTTCTTCAACTCTTGGAAAATACTTATGTGAAGAACAACAGTTTGTGGGAAGAGGCGGAATTGATGAGAATAGCATAAAGTGGGGTAGACGCATTGAGAAGCTGATTGCTATTTGATTGGTTATCACTTTATGCAGCTTCCCGTCGGACAATTGATGTTGCGAAATTTATCTCGCCTCTATCAACGTATTACTACTGGCCCGTAGAAAAACTTTCACCAACCGCAAATGAGTCAGCACTTCACAAGGTGTCCGGATCTTGACCTTGACCAAACCTGTGATGCATTAACCCGCAAGGACCTACAGTTCTGGACATCGAGAAGGCAGCCGGATGCCACCGTCGAAGGATGCACTTGTATTCTTTGCGACCACGAAGACATAGGGTTTTCCCCGGATGTGGGATACCCAAATTCTGACGTCGCGGGCCCCCAGGATCGATGACCTCTTTGTAAGGTTTCGGGTCCAATGCGTCGAACTCTAAGGATGCAGCATTCTCTCACGCCGAGACCATGAGGAGGTATAGAAATTGCAAGAACATCTATTACAAATCTTCAACGTTAGTGGCTTCTACAGCTGCAAAGAATCTTCGCCAGTATCAGTATTTGATATTTGCTATTCGCGACTCGAAACAATGAATTCTATTGCCAATCGCATGGACATTGTTAATTTCTGGATTTGTTATCAACCTGTCAACATCCGAAAACAGAGTATACCGTGACTCGGCACAACTCTACAGGTTGCCTCCATAACCCACGACTATGCAAACATTGTTGTGATTCCTTGGCCTATTCGGCCACCTCACCACCACCATATTTGCAGCCCCAAGCGGACTGCAGATAGTAGACCCGTCACTCGAGTTGTTCGCGAACGACATCCTTGCTGGCGAGGCCACCAACAACACCCTCCAAATCAAGCCCGATACTTTCCAAGAACTCAATGACCCAAACTACCCGATAGACCTCAAATGTACTCCCGCAGGTCGTGGCTTCCAAAGGGTAATCGTGGACGAATACTACGAGACCGTTGACAGGATTTTGATCCGGGACGATGCCATGACCCCTGAGCAATGGTTCCTGGGCCCTGTTCCCGGGTAAAGTTATTCCTGGACAGCTGATAATTGCCAAATCGGCTTCGGTGCGAGGACATCAACGCGTACACAGCCCCTCCCAATCATTGTAGCAGCGCAGGTGGCGCCTTTGGTGGCTAAGGAGTGTCTTACCCAGGCAAAGGGCTTTCTGGGAGGACTAGTAGTGTTGGATATTCCTGGAGAGCCGATTGCGGGTGTAGGGGGGGCTCGGCCGGTGATGGATGCTTCTTCTGCCTAGACATAGGGGCCGTGATGGAGAGTCTGGAGATTTTTGGGACGATGGAACGCGTCACCATGAAGACTAGCTATACAGCGTCGGTTTTCTAGACAAGCTTTGAATTATACCTCCCCAGGCTCAAAATTGCCAAGTACGACAGAATTTGAGAATACGATTGGTCGATTATGTCTGACAATTCTAGCTGAACTTACTACGATTTCTTCCAAGCTCTTCAAATCGTTTATTCCTCTCTGTCTACAGACTTACTGATTAAATATCCCCTGCGTCAACATTCCAAAAAGTCGCTGTCCAGAAGTGTTCCGTGTCAAGCCGTCGACATAGTCCTTTCGCAAGTCCGTCCCGCAGAGCGGACTTGCGAGACTAGGTAATCGCGGGCGCAATGTTGAGGCTAACGAAACTATATCGGTGCCAATGCTTCTAGATATACACCGTCATCGTCCGCAGCAACCTCATCTCCATTACTAAGGGTTCAACTCTGTACCACCAGGAGAAGAATAGCTCGAAGGAATCTCAAGCGCCCTCCCGACCCTATTGACCCCTTCAGCTACCATAAATCGAAAGCGCTCTATACCCCTCACCTCAATACTAGAATGATACTCCGTATCCTCAAGCCAACCATCTAGCAGCATCTCCCGTGATACGTCGAACAGAGCCGAGTCAAAATGCCCATTCATTGTCTGTGAAGGTTGAGTATCTGGTCCTTCAAACCCTTGAAGGAAAGATTCCATCTTATTTCCCCGAACCCGTTACGATAAGCCACCACGCCGTCCGTTTTCGCTCCAACAATCCATCGATCTTGTGCACGCCGACGGCGGCTCCTCCACCCTTGCTCGCTCGCCCACACCATCATCCAAGCCCATAAATCCGGAACGCCAACAGTGGAGACAGATGCTCCGGGAAGTGGGCCCCCACCGAGAGGATATGGGAAAGCCGAAGGGAGAGCCTTCTCGTCATGAATAATCAATAAATAAAAAAATCAAGAAAAAAAATCAAATCAGCACTTCCGCACCTCCAACGCAACATCATCCATCACCCAATCCTATGTGGTCGCTCACCCAATACAGCATAAGCGAACCCCACAATCCCCTCCCTCACGAGAAAGACGTCTTCAATACTCGTATACAATCCCAGTCCTCCCAGTCCTCCCTTTCGCAGACTGCGCCAGCCCAACCCGCATTCCCACCCCCGCTCCACCGCCCCGGAAGCTCCTCCAAATGCATCGTGCGTGTTTATAATCGGTAAACGCCATGGCGCCGTCTCGCTCGCTTTCTGTCCTTTCTTCACTGCAGATTCGCGTTTTCGATCGCTGACGGCGTGGGTGCTGTTTACATACATAAATTCTTACGAATGATCATCAGGCGAAGCGACGAGTAGGAGTAATGGGACGGGCAAAGACGGTCAGGGGGCGGGGGGGGGGTTGCGAACTAGGGAGGTAAGGTAGGTACGACATAGTTGCAGACGGGTTTGGGTTCTGTATTTGTGATTTGGCTCGTCGGTACTGTTGATGGGAGGGTAGGGATGACACTGGGGGTCACGTAGGATGGATGGATAGATGGATGAATGGATGGATGGGTCGGAGGTTGAGAATTGTAGATGCATAGCGAGAGGGGAATATAGATTTTCTGTTACCGCGGTATACTGCGCCGGGCTCGCTGGTGCACTATCCTATGAAGAGAGCCAGATTTGCTCGATTGACAATGAATGTGTCTGGAATACATCACCGCCAGCGAGCATTTCCAGTCAATCCCAAGCCTAATCTCGAAATCCATGCAATCCTCTCATATCCTCCTGAAGCCCTCTATGCTCTATTGCCATCACCCCTGTCTTTCTCACTTCTTCAACCATCGTCTCATCGCCTCCACGCAGCATACTGATATCCTCGCGCAGAACATCGTTCTCCGCCAGCCACAAATCTCCATGAATTCGGTCCTCGCGCGCGGATGCTTTACCTGCAAGGAAAAGGAATGATATCGCTCTCATGCCTTCGAGCTTGAGCCCGAAGACGGTTCCTGCTTCCTTTCCCCAGCGGTTTTTGCGAACACCTATCACGGCTTCCGTGATTAGTAGTGGCTTCTTTACGAGGTCACGCGGTACTGCCTTCATGCCATCGAGGGAATGGAGAGCCCAGAAGAGGTCGTCGTCCATCTTGATCTTCGCGTAACCGTCGCTTGCTCTGATCGAAAGAATAGCCGCATCCTCGCCATCGCAAAGCTCCATGATCAGGATGCCGTCTCCGTCACACTTGTAACCCTCAACATGATGGCCAACTAGGCTCCGTGGATCACGTCCCTTGCCATTGAAAGGTAGAGTTTTGGTGTTAAGGAGATAGCCAAATGTCCAGCCCTCCGCAAGTTCTCGCTCTAGAGCCTCGAATAGCCTGCATAAGAGGTCGTCCTGGCAACCCGATGTCTCCAGTTGGCGCTTGCTAAGCTCGTGCTGGGCGTCGGAGACGAAGAAGAATGGATCATACAGAACAGCGACCACGTCGTTCATCTTTTGTGAGGGCAGATTGAAGGTTGCTATTCGACGTGGAGTGTGAGGGGGTTTTCCGAGGAGTGTGGCCATGTAATCCATTTCTTGGCAGAGCAATATTCGACGGAAGCGATGGTGCTGTGAAGAGCTGAGTTTTTTCCCTTGCAGCTGAGATCTGGGATGCGTGATATCTTTGTAAAATGGCATGTGGTTGGTATCAATCAATCCCAATGCTGGGGTGGATACAAGAGTCATAGTTGGAAGCCCAAGGAATAGATCTCGTAGGACGCCGTGGGGAACCGCGGAGATTTCTTTCGAAAGTCTTAATCATATTTGAGCTGAGAAGCCTTTGATGGGATCAGCTTATGGTCACTCTGTGAAGGATGAAAGAAGCAGCATCAGCATCCCAAGGATGAAATGAAGGCGCCAATAAGAGTAGATGTGAAGAGGAATTAGGTTGCATTAGGCGATATTTGAGTATAGATTCACTCCCTGGCGTTATTGTTCGACTTCAACCTGCTAACATCAAGTGTTGATATCTGTTGGAGGGGTCATGCTAAGCCCAACCAGCCTCAGCACTTCACAGAAGAGGTCTTGTTATCACCACCAGCAATGGTTGGCGAGGACATTCTGGATTTCTCGATCTCATGCATCATGCCTGTAATTCTTCCAAGCGCCTTACAGCCTTTTGTGTAGTGTTACAATAGCAGCAACGCACGAAGGGCACCCAGCACCAATACTGTTGGAATTGAAGAGAGGTTATGGATTGATTAGCTATGGAGTGGTATGTAGGCTACTTGTATACCATGTGAAGCCCATGCTAATTTGCCACCTGCGGGGTAGCTACAACACACTATGGTGCTGCAGCAAATCTCAACACACCCCCATGATGCAGCACCATTGCCACACCCCCATGATGCAGCATGGTTTTCAAGCTGAGATACGAGTATTGTTGTCCTCGAAATCGTCACCCCTTGTCGTTGTGGCCAATCTGGCCTGAAATCTTCGTGCTTGTTTTCCACTATCTCCCTTTGTGTTTTGCCTGATCTTTCATCATTTCCTTATACCAATCCGGAGCCAACTGTGGATATTCAGTCCAGCACTTCTCGCTGAGATGACCGGTAGATCCACAGTGGTTACAGGGCTCTTTTTCCTTGCCTTTCCCCTGGAATCCTGCCTTAAAAAATCGAGCGGAGTCTTGGGAGTGGAGGGCTTGATTGTGTTGCCGACTGGCCTCGAGGACCATTTGACGTGCTTTTTCAGCTGTGATTGAGGGCGTAACAGCCCAAATTTGGATGAGATACTGGTACTCTCGTGGTAATGATATGGAGAGACAGAGAATCGTACGGTTATTCGTATCGAGTGTGACCTTCGTGGCGTCGATTTTCTCTTCGAGAACCTTGATGTGAGTGAGATACTCGGGTACCGTCTTGAATGCTTTGAACTGAAGCGTGTAGTACTCCTTGGAGAGACGCATAAACTCTGAGGATCCCGTAGGCTGAAGTAGAGTCTGAAGTCTCGTGAGCATGAGGTAGCCGTCATTGAATTCGGCCTCCGTAAGTTTCTGTTGAATACCTGGACTGATTGTCGGAGTCATAAGATCTGCAGCTTCCTGGGATTTCTCCTCCCATTCCTTCATAGCCTTCTCTTGCTTCTTGGTAATTGGTGGAGATATCTCCGTATCTGTACTGGTTGTTGCCGTAGTGACTGCAGAGTCTTCAGACTCATACTCTCCTTGAGTGTATTTCCAAAGCTTCTTTGAACGGAGCTCTGCTCGTGTGTTGACGAACCATAAACCGAAATTCTCCTCGATAAGGTGTTCCATTTGACGTATTGTTCCACTGTCTTTCGTGGACATTGTGACTGAGTATCCCACTGTCTTTCGTGAGTATTTCTTGGTATCCCACTGTTTTTCGTTGGTGCTCTGTGTTTTCGAGCTGACTTGGTATTCCACTGTCTTTCGTGGATATTTGCTCTGTGTTTTCGAGCTGATTTGTGTGTGGTTTCCTGGGTGTCTTGAGGTATTTGGATTAATGATAGACAACAACTTGTGTAGCAGTTGCGCAAGGGCCCATAACCTGTTGGAATTGAAGAGAGGTTATGGATTGATTAGCTATGGAGTGGTATGTAGGCTACTTGTATACCATGTGAAGCCCATGCTAATTTGCCACCTGCGGGGTAGCTACAACACACTATGGTGCTGCAGCGAATCTCAACAAATACCCTGAGAGCCTTATTGTTGCGGGCATGGCTCCATTGATTGCGCTTGTGCCATCCATTTGTTTCAACTAATGGTAAATCTGGAGAAAAGGTTGACTCCCGTATCACGCTTCATTGTCCTGTCACATGTGCTGTCCCTGATCAACTTGGTTCGTCTCTGCCATTCTATCTCGTCCCGTCTTTTGCAAGCAGTCCAGACCTCCCTTGGCACGTTGTATCATCTCGCCGTCAGTTGGAGATGTAGGGACATCTATGAAGCCGGGCAGTGGACGAGAGGGTGGCAGCGCTGGTGACGAGCCTCACGGGAACGCCGGACTGGTGGGTTGTGAGGTGAGGGAACCCGCGGCAATTGGGATGGACATGACTTGGTGCAACGGCAGATTGCTGGTAGAGATACTCAACTGCAGAGATGGGTTCTTCACATGCACTTCGGATCTTGTGTTGGCAGTCGATGATCCGAGGCGATCGGAAAGTCCTGACAGCGGTATTGAAGCCCTAGTTCTAACCCTACATTCGGAAGGCAGCCCTGTAGCGGGGACTCCTAGAACTATTTTCTAGGTGCATGAATTGAGCTTTAGGGACTTCTATCGGGCATGCTAGATGCAATGGGCGCTAAACCGGGCGCATTTCGAAGCACATCTAAGCGCAGTGTTCCAGGCAGCTATTCAGGCTGGGCGGTTATCCGAGATCTTGGCGCGGGAGTCTTTGCGTCCATGAATTTCGGTGCAGCTATTTTCACCACAGTTCATAACCTTGTGGATCCCCAGGCGTCTATATAAATACCTAAAGGCATCCGGCAAGTTTGAAAATGCCCCATTGGAAAACTCCATCAAGTCTACGATTTGGTCCAAGCAGCTGCATGAAGACACCTTGCTCAAGTACAAAGACCCTGACGCTTGCAAAAATTGTGTTTGTGCGCCTCGCGGCGAAGATGGCAGTCTAGCGGTCTTGCGATCTTATGAATCCAGACGTCATGACCCACTGTACGAGATCTGCAAGATTTGGGAGGCCGCTAGAGCCGCCTCAGCAGCTTCCACTTTCTTCGAGCCCATTCAAATAGGACAGAACCGTCAACTATTTGTGGATGGAGCATTGACGGCAGCAATGATCCTGTCCGAACAGCTAATGTTGAATCACGGGACGTCTGGCCAACTGCAGATAGACTCATCCTGAGTGTTGGCACAGGAGCTGGTCTGGCCAAGCCGTCATAGGTAACTTGCTCGAGCTTGCAAATCGACTGAAAAACATGGTGACTGACTCGGAGAAAACAAATCGGACTTTCAAAATGGAGAAAAACGAGATGGCGAGAAACGGCAGATTCAATGTCATGCTTGGCTTGGCAAATCTTGTCCTGGAAGAACATGAAGCAATAAATAGTATCGCTACTTAGACGGACAATTATCCCGACGATCCTGACGTCTTTTGGTTCAAAGCTGCGTTGATAACCTCTGTCGCGGAGGTCAGCGTATGGGGTATGCATCCGCAGAAGGTCTGACAACTCAGGGAAATAGATGCTGCGGAAGGCTCAATGTAGCTGCAGGCTAATGGTTATTCTTCCACGCTAGAGCTTGAGAATTTGATGAGATCCATGCAATTAAGTCAAGTCTTGGTGACGGTATGCGCGAATTGCCTTCAAGGTGGGTAAATTTCCCCCAACAGAAGTGAGGTTTGGCAAAGCTAGGACCACAATCGCTTCATTCCTGTAGTGTTTTTTTCCCATCATCTCAAGACAATGGCATCATCATCCAGTACTACGTCTCGTTGTACTAGGCACTCTCTAGTTCTCTGTGCTGAAAGCCGTGGTCCATCATCCCGCTCTTTTGTCATCAATGACTGATCGAATATCTAACTTGTTTCAGGGGTTCGAGTGCGCGGGTTGTAGGCAGTATCACTGCTGCATGCAGTGTGTGCAGAAAAAGATTTATCCACTGCATGATTTTTGCTAGGGGAAGCAGGCTGCTTTTGAATTGTTGCTTATCAGAAATTGAGGAGCTAAGAGGGCGGATCGAAGGTGGTTTCCTACTCTATCAGACTGAATGAAAACTTCGGCGGTTCGCGAGCCGGGGGGAACCGGGTTCGATGTGAAGCTTGCACTTCGGTCTACGATAGTCAACGGGCTTATCCGTAGTGTACCTAGAACGAGGAGGATGGTGTAGCTGCAGTGTGATCGGTATAAAGGGGAGCATAGTGATACATGGAAAACCAGATAAATCAAGTATTGGTTCGAGGAAGCATAGTGGATAATTTAAGAAAGATCAGGGAAGACAGGCAGTCTCCGCGTAGAGGCTTATTCGATCAGGCTTGGCGCAAACCCGAACCTCACGGCCAACATATCAGTTTTGATTGCGCTGCATCTCGCAGTGACGGACAATCAGTACGATATCGTCCGACAACTACTTTCGCATGGCGCAGACTGTGCTCTCGAGCCAGGGAAAGGACAGCTGCATGATCATGAAACCCACACTGCCTACACCTTCAACTTTTTCTATCAAACACCGTCAACACCGTCCCATCCTTCAGCGTCATCTGCCGCTCCGCATAATCGAATCGCCCTGCCCTCGGAAGTAGTACCCGCCATCCAAACCAATAGAGCACACCGCATGCCAGGACCGCGATGCCCACGACAGGATAGAGCCAGTACGGCAAGCTCGTATCCCCTTTCCCGCCCGGCGGCCTCAAGAAGGGCGCGACGAGCAAGAAACCTTGGCCGAGGAGGAAGAAGACGGGGACAGGCCACCAGGCTTTGAATGGTCTCGGCACTTGAGGCGAGCGCCAGCGCAGGATGAAGAGACCGATGCCGACGAAGACATAGATGACGGAGGATGGGTAGCCTTCGAGGTCGAGGATGAAGTCGTAGGCGTCGCCTGAGAGTCTTATCAGTCACCATTCTGGCGGAGTGAACTTAGTTGTAACAATAAAGACTCACCAAACGGTATCGCCACAATGACGATGAAACTTGGGATGAAATGCAAAAGCAAGCCCGCAGAAGGCGCACCAAACGGCCATCCCGAAGCCCAGAATCGAGATAAAGGGAATGACACCTTCTTTCGCTAGCTCTTGGTTTACTCGGGCCTGGGCGAACGTGACGGTCAAGACGTTTCCGAATGCGGAAAGGGCGACAAGTACACTATGAAGGCCCTGATGTCAGTAACCGTGCTGGCAGCTAGTACTTCACTGTCAGCAGATCGTACCTCAATGCTCGTTCAGCGGCCGCCCCGAAGACTCGGCCAAAGAAGTAGGTGGCTACGGTGTTTCCGCTGCTGGAGATCTCCCCAGGGGTCGCCGCGGCGAAGAAGGCGACGTTTGCGAGTAGGTATAAGACACCGCATATGCCTAGGCCAAGGGGGCCGGCAACCTTGAGGGTTCGGACGGGGCGTCGAACTTCATTCAGGACATAGGCGGCGTTGGACCATCTGCACTGTTCAGCTTGGGCCCCGGGAGACAAGCAACTAGTTCCTTACCCGGCATAAGAATTCAAGACCTTGAACAAAGCGGTTGCGTATTCATAACCAGACGAAGACGATCCGGCGAAGGAATTCCTGAAGCTAGCCCCTGGATCTGGTATTTTGTGCACCTTTCCGCCGAGAACAACCCATCCGGTGATCACGATGAAGACAAGGACAACAATCTTGATCACTCCAAGGATGTTCATGAGTTTGACACCGAGATTCGGGGTAAAGGTATGGATGCACGTAACGGCAATGATTACCGCAAGTGCGATCCCTCGTTCTCCCCATTCGGTCACGTTGTGATTTGCTGCAATTAATATATTCTCTGCGAAGATGATACAACCGGACGCTGTAAGATTCTGTCAGTTTCATTCCCTGTGTCAACATTCTAAGCCTTAATTTCAGTATACGGCGTTTTCGGAAAGGTATTCAAGAATGCACGATGTAGCAAAACAAAAACAGAAGTGTTTCTGGTCCCAACTCACCCGTAAAGCCAAGGAAGATGGCTTGGGTCGAGAAAACCACAGTAGCCAAGAAGCGTGGCTGCCTATACGCAGCCTCCAAGTAAACCTTCTCTCCACCACTTCTAGGGAACATGCACCCGAGTTCCAGCCACACGCAAAGACCAGCAAAGGAGAGTAACAACCCAAGGACCCATAGCATCAACGCGGCTCCGACACTACCAACACTGCTGGTAATAGTCGCAGGCGTGGAGAAGATGCCCGTCCCAATGATTCGGCCGATGCTAGATAGGCGCATCAGTTCTCCCCCACCTATGAACCACTTGAGGGGCGGACGACATACATGAGAAAAGTCGTGCTGAACAGCCCCAAATGCCGCCCCAATCCACCCGCGGTATCTTGCTCCAGCGTCAGATCACCCGGCTGTGGAGTGCGACGCGCATCGAACTCCAACCTCTGAACATCCGCGGAAGTCGCATCGTCGCTGGAGCTCCCCACGACGGGAGATTTCTCATCGGAGCTCAAACCCAGCGTTAGTCCTTTGCGCCAGAGCACCATCTCGAGGCAACGTAAGGGGTATCAGATCGCAGAGCTGGTGAATTGAAAGGTAGATTAGGTCAGTCAATCGAAGTAGATGAAAAGTAGCAATGCGACTTCTTAAACATCAATCTCTGGGCACCAGTTTCATTCACATATCATCTTACAACATCAAATCACATGGCGAAAGCGATTCCCATTGCGCACGCCATGCGGGGATCGGATAACATCATTTTTTTGAAGTAGTTTGTTTTCAAAGCTGCCCTGCGTTATCTCGCCCCACAACCAGATCCGACTCGAGCTGCCGCCATTGGAACGCAAGATTGAGATAAAGGCTTTGATAAGGCCATGGTTTAATTGGTTAGAAATCACTGCAAGAGTCTCAGGGTCAGCCTCGTGAAGATCCTCGCACCGAGAGAGGACATTTAAAAAGTGCTCTGGGTTAAGAAACGCAGATAAGGTACCTTACTTTACCTTGGGTACATGTACACTTGCGGCTAAAAGGTTGCCAAGCCATCGGAGACATCCGCGCGAACCGTTTGCAATATTGAACTGGAAACGCCTCACAGGAGGCTTCGAACACGTGGAAGTCGTCTCTTTCTAACCGAAGTCTTCCTAGCTCACATGTTACACCATGAGCTGGCTCAATCCACCTCAAGGGAACCATTTCCTCCGGTATGGATATTCTATCGGTCACTGTTAGTACAATAGCCATCACAGGTGCAATCTGGACTACTGGAAAAGGTATTGCGTCATTACGCGAGACAAATGAGTTGCACGATGTTCTTCTACAGATCTCTTCGGTACTTGATGGTCTTAGACTTGCGCCTGCAGATGAGGGGGAAATCTATCGATGCCGGACGACAGAGTGGATACAGGAGCAGGTGAAAAAAGCAGATGAGACTATGATAGAGCTCGACAGACTTGGTCAAAAATGCTCCAAAGTGTCGAACTCGGGTCAAATCAAGTGGTCGAGGCGCAGGTGGCTGCAAAATCGGACAAAAGCAACGACCCTACTATCAGATGTACAATCGATACGGGGAAAGCTGCTGAGCAGCTTGGCCATTATCAATTTGTGGGTACATTTTATTGCGTCCTCGTTCTCCGTTCGTAGGGAAAACATCGTTTGGCATTGATGATATCAGAGACCATAGCTAACGTCTTCACGTTCGAGGTCCTCCACTATCCGCCTAGAGAGCTCCACCAGCGAAGTTGTGTTCAATCAACAACAGGCTAGACAAACATTGTCCACTTTGATGGGCCAAATGACAGTACAAGGTTCACTGATTCAAAAAGCACTATCAGACATTCAAGATGTAACAGAGGATCATGGGGGAAACCGGTCGGAGAGTGGATGTTCGGCCTCTCAAGCCGGCATACAGCCTGCCAACATCCGATCGAAAGCAAGCGGCGTTGAGGTCGGACAGCCTGAGACCTTACCCCCAATGACAACCGGGTTCCCTTGGGGTTCCCGCTGCGCAAAAGACGGCCAGGTGGCTCACACAGGGAAGCAGTGCTCACTATGGTGCAGCTGTGCCTGCCATTCTCGGAAGACCTTTTTTGTGCCGTCGCCGTTTGGTACTGTCTCGGGTTCCCTTTCGGGCCTACCTCTGCTGACACGTCGTTGTGCTGAGCATGCTTGCAAAAGCCCGACTGGTCCCTCTGGCAGTATTGTCTATCGATTTCCTAGCTGGTTTTGGGGCCGTCCATTTGAAATAACGATGAAATTTTGCCCCCTCCATGGCCCTGAAATCAACATCCGATTCCCACGAGGGGTCATGCCATAAAAACTGTACCTTTTTGCCATACATGGAGATACAAAAGGAGTAAAAAGTCTCTTTACGGAAGGCGCTGCATCGCCTTGGGACGTGAACGATCATGGGTCATCGGCGCTTTACGTAAGTCATACGGCTTTCACCCTTGCCTACTTTGTTTTTCTTTCATGGTCTCTCCTCGTATACTTCAGATCTAGCAACTTACTCAATGACGAACAGTTCGCTGCCGTATCGGGTGATGTTGGTCTCTGTAGATTTCTGATAGAGCAAGGCGCCGACCCTCTGTTCGAGAATCAATACCACACGTACGCAGTATTTGATGCGCTAGTTGTGCGTGTCGACTGATGTAGTATTTCTAGGTCTCCGGTGTCTCTTGCATGAGAACGTATTCTTTCACAAGAGAAGAAGCCTGATAAAGCCGCCGATATTGCCGTCTCATTTGGTCGCATCAACTGCACCAACACGCTGCAATTCAAGCCCCTGCACAAGGCTGTGCTCGGCCTCGTTCCTCTCCCTTTGGGACCTCTCCTTGACTGCTCTACTGCAGACATCAACGTCCAGGACCGAGAAGGTCGTACTGGTCTATCATGGGCAATCACAAGGGACGACATCGAATCATCGAGGCTCCTGCTTGGACACGGCGCCGACGTCATCAAATCGGACAACCGAGGGTTCGGTCCAATTCATTCTGCCAAAAGTCTTCCCAGTCTCAAATTGTTGCTTGATCACAACTTGGACATCATGTCGAAAACAGCAGTGGGCGCTACACCCCTCCACTTTGTCTCTAGATATGGCCGTCACGACATGATAGAACCGATGGTGAAAGCTCATGCAGATCAAAATGCAGAAAAAGAGCGGAACATCATCCATCTGGCAGCAATTCATGGAGATCGCACAAAATAGATATCCTCAGTCAAGCTAGGCTGATGTGCATTGATCCGGAGGCGAGGGACTCTCTGGGCAAGACTGCTCGAGGATATTTCGAGGAGCAATCTGAAGAGAGCGCACCAGATGCTGTGAGGCACGCTTTCACAGTGCTGCTTGCTACTAATCATAGCAAGTAGGGGACCACGAGAAGACGATATATCGCTCCCCGAAGTCTTTTATGACGCCATCGAAGAATTTTCAACTACACGACGGACGGCGAAGGTAAACACGAGTGTCTTGGAAGCTCGGCAGCATCGTTCCAAATCCATAGTTACCAGACGGAGTTCCAATTTCATCGAGTCCGAAGAGCCGTGCTCATCATGTCGGCATCATCCATTCCTTAAGGTATGACCCGGTTACTTTACAGCCTAGAAGAATTAGCGTTTTCACTCATTTTCTTTCTGATCTATCTGAAAGTTTATTTCCCCTTACGGACGCACTAGCTTCCCGCATCCACGATCGACTTCCTGAAACGGTCTCGGCTAACGTAAGCGAACGGCGCTAGTCATGCACGTCGAAAGGGGTCGCTTTGAGATCCAGTACTATTAGTCAACGTCTATCCAGGTTTGGCCAAAGAAAACGCCTCCAGTCACCGCATTGACAAGGATTCGGGCTCACTATGTAATATATATATCAGATGATCAGATCGCAAGGAAGGTTTTGCCGTCTCATCCGTCCAGATTGATTCTAGGCCCATCTACTTTTCAGGTGCCTTGCAGGATGTAGCTAGCTGGCCAGCACGTGGTTTCCCTTCTTGGCACCAAAATTTGCCGGACTTTGTGGATGGCAAACAGCTTTAACCTGTCCGGTAATCCGGGGGATAGAGACGACTCCTCGCTAAGAAAGTTGGACTTTTCTTCAAATACAATTTTCGATCGCGTTGCTCACGTTTGGATTTGTGGCTGGCCAATAGACTGGGTAGATCAGTGGGTACGAAATGCTACCAGAGGAGGAGGAGGAGGAGGAGGATGATGATGATATAAAAGCACATCTCCCTCGACATTGCTCCGGAGTCTCGTCCAGGTAAACTCAGTGGCCTCTTTTGCTAGGTCTTATCATCTCACTCGTTAAGTTTCGTCTTTTCCCGTCTAAAACACTGTCGTTATGTACATTCCTTTCATTCTCGCCGCTCTTGCGGCTCTTACATCTGCGCTTCCCTCGCCGCAATTGATTGATCTGGTTGCCATCGAAGAATATCCTGACGCAGTCCGCGTGACCGCGCCCATCGATATTGTCAAAGACGTTGTACCATCGGTCCCTGCAGCGCCCATAAGACCACTCACCAGCATCATCTCGTCTTCAAAGCGGGACTTGACGGTGGAGAAGCGAGATGGCGATTGTTCACCCTACCCTACAGGGTCCGGGCCTGTACCCTCCCCTGATACCGTGGACGCGTTCGAATCTTTCCCAACGTTTGCAGTACGTCCAGTCTCATCTCCTCGTAAAGAGTAAGATTGACTTTTTCTTCCAGGCAATGGCAACCGCTGCACCAACCCCCGACGGTTACGAGGTTGTTTTCATTAACTCGAACGCCTCCTTGACTGCTTCAGATTACATGGGACTCTACACCCTTACCACCTACGACACCCTCGGATGCGCTTCGCAATGCGACCAAGCATCTGGCTGCCAAGCATTCAACATGTACATTGAACGAGACCCGAGCTTGAACGCTAGCGCCGACAATTGCCCAAATCCACCGAGCACGACTAACTACAAATGCACGCTCTGGGGCGCGCCTGTATCGGTAGAGGAAGCAACGAACTCTGGACAGTATCAGGATTCGTTCCAAGTCGTCATCGCTGGCTCTAACGGTATGTGAATTTCAATCTACCCACACCAGTCAGTGTTCCCATCCACGACTTGCACCGGCTGACTTTGCCCCCCAAGCCTACAACAAAGACGCCCCTCCCCCCAGCTTGCGATGGCTACAACGGCCCCACTGAACTCGGCGGTGCAATCAACGCCCCACCCTCTTCCGGTAGCTATATGGGCTACCAATATTTTCCCTTCAGCCAGAGCCAAGGCTATGATCCGCAAACGTGTGCCGATGCGTGTAATGCGCAGACGACGTACGATAGCGAGAACCTAGCCGCGGATGGTAGTTACATGGCATGCGTACGTGCTCCCTCTGATTTGAATTATTGTAGGGCTAATGGCGATAGATTTTTTTCAATGCCTATGTCCTATCTGAGGATGGCATTCCCCAAGGGCTGTATTGCTCGATGTACAATGAGACGTGGGATGCGTCGTATGGGACGAACTACGGACAGTACCAGGGAGATGATCGGTATACTGTTTCAAGATCTTATAGCTACGCGCTTATGTAAGTCGATGGGCTTTCTCAATTTGCCTTCGCGCACAAGAATGCGTACGGTTTTCTTTCGAAAACACATCCTGCCCTTTGAGTAAACCCACTACGGTTCACCGAAAAGAGCGTGGAACTCCATCATTGGTACGGTCGGACTTCCTCGTTTCTTCTTGAAACTTTGCGCCTGAAACAGTTCTGCAAGTTGCGTGGGATTCTTAGATTTTGGAAGGTTACCCTTTGAACGGTTCGTTGATACACCCCCTCTTCATAGTGATCAACCCGACTCATCGGCACCATGGAACGTATCTTCCTCCGCAGCGCCTTCCGCAGCGCCTTCCGCAGTAACATCAGCAGCAGCAGTATCATCGGCGGTAGCATCCTCGTCGGTAGCATCCCCGTCGGTAATATCGTCGGCGGTAGCATCATCCACTGCTGTATCATCTACAGCTGCATATGCTGCAACAGCATCGTCCACAACAGCATCGTCCACAGCAGCATCATCCACAGTAGTATCGTCTGCAACCACGTCTTCCACAACAACAATATCAACAGCAGCATTGTCGACCATAGTCTCATCGACAGCGGTTTCATCGAGAGCGGCATCTCCCATAACGACTTCTTCAGCAGTAAAACCATCAACAGCAACTTCATCCCCATCCCCATCTTCCACTACCAAATCTTCCACCACACCATCCGCATCATCCAAAACAACTTCAACCACAACAGCCTCGACCAGACCAGCCTCCTCAACCACAACCACATCCTCAACCTGCTCCGCCTCCGCCCTCGCCTGCCCTACCTTCAAACCCAGCCTCCCCTCCTGGTCCATCACCAACATCCTCGGCGCCACAACCTACGGCCTCCAATCCCCCGGCAGCACCCTCAAATCCGGCACCGCATCCGCCTCCGACACCTCCGCCTTCTACGCCTCCCTCCTCCCCTCCTCCGGCTCCAGCTCAGCCGCCTCCCTCACCCTATCCCAACCCCTCACCCTCTGCCCCGGCACAAACTACACCGTCAACATCGACTACGCGTTCGCGAACCTCGGTGGCGGGCAGTGCAGCCTCAACGCCACGTACCCGAACACGTTGGCCTCGGGGAGGAGCGTGAGTGTTCCGATGGCGGTGGCGCAGGGGCAGCTGGGCGGGTGGGCGACGACGGGGTGGAAGTTCCAGGCGCCGGCGGTGGGCGGGAGTGGGAGTGCGGCGTTGGAGTTTGTGTTCGGGTGCAGTCAGGGGGGGTTGCATTTGATTTATCTGGATGATGTGAGGGTGGCGGTTTGGAAGGGGGATGCTTATTGATTGGGTTGATGCGGGTTAGGACGGTAGCGGGTGAGGTGGGGAGAGAGTACGGGAGTGAGGTGGGAATCATGTAGTAATGTTTATACTTAATACGACCCCAACGTCAATCCAACTCCCGAAAAGCGGCACCCTACTCACGTGTTTGCGTTTTGCAAGACAAGGAACTGCCACAAGCTGGCGAATCTGGGAGATATAGTGTTTTGATCGACACATGCTGATTCATAAGACATCGACGTTTTAAAGCGTGCATGACGACTTGGTTCACCCAGACCCAGGGCCTTCTGATCGTTCCATCCTATCTATCGTCTTTCGCGTCTGCCGAGATACACATCTTTCCAACGGCTTCTGTAAAAAATCTTTCTACGTAAAATTAGCATTTGATGCTTTTCATAAGAGCCAACTTACCGTGTTTGGTTGGTAATTTACGTAGGTCGGCGGCCATTGCCATGAACTCCACTCATCGTGACACTCTACGAATAGCGTTTGGACTGGACCACCTGAGATTTACTGGCTTCCATAACATTTTAGATTATATTTTGCAATAGTGACAGGAGTCCAACGCACCGCATCCGATGTGGTCTAGTGGTTAGGATATCCGCCTCTCATTACTGAGAGACTCCAGTGCGCGGATGGCCGGGGTTCGATGTACGTGGTTATAAATATTCTGAGATGCGCCTGATGTTAACATCAAGCTAGTCCCCGCATCGGAAAACAACACTTTCATTTTTTTGTCCATATTGTGGAATCTGCATACTCCATGCTCTCTGTTCTTTCGCCTTGAAGGATCTGGCACCCATTGTGGAGCTTGAACATGATGTTGCCGAAGATTTACCGCGAGCGATGTTCGTTCTTGGCAAGCTTTTCTGTGCCGAGGCACGCGAGTCTTATCGATAAGGACGAGGCATCTCCCAATACTCTTTCTATTCGCAGATTCTCACATTCATCGCTATATACTTATCCTGAACTTTATTATATCTACTCACCTCCCTGTACTTGTACGCCAGGATCAGACCCACCCATTGCCAGTACAAGGAGCTCCAGAGATTTACTGTATCCACAGTGAACACTCCCGTCGCCTCTTACAACTTAGCCGTCTGACATATGACGAACTCCGCCTAGGAAATGGCGGTCCACGAGACGCAAGTTCAGCCAGAAAGGGACCAGCCTGCTCGGACACCTTTGCCAGTGTACTCTATGCTTCCGAGCGCCTTGCAAAATAGCCTGCAACCGCTGGTTTTGGTCCGAAGAAGCCTCACAGACTACGGCCTTCGATCACGGAGAAGAGTCACCAGCCTAGACATGTACCGCGGCGAAAGTGAACATACACAGGTGCTCCCAGATAAGATGGCCGTAGCAGGCGAATGCACGGCAGACAGCGCAGAGGTCCCAGGCATAAGCTGGAAGTTTGCCCGCCATGGTAAGACGCTGCACACAAATGGCAATCACCACAAAATTGTCTGACAAGAGTCAGGCTCGAATACTCTTCAGACTTCACTTGCAGAATCTCAGACCTCAGGCGCTCAAAGCCAGGCTTTCTCCCGCCAGCTTTACCTTGACGCCATGGCATACCTAATCCAAGGCCTTCCTTCCGACCTCTCGGACCAAGAAACGCTTCACCTGAAAAACGCTCTACCAGACTCCCTGAAAGACTCGACTTCTCCCGAGACAACCCAATCTAGGCATCGAAATCCCTCACTCCTCCATCGCAGCCTCGCTTCCACAATCATAGGCATATGCCTACTACTTCGTCTGGCACTTCCTTATATTAAGCTCTTCATTGCAGCTGCTTCCAGCTACGATCGCACACACCATGTCAGGGAGAGAATATTTGCCTTCAGCGTCACTGCTGCAGATTTATTTGGAAGGAGGAGCATGGCATTGGCCAGTACAGCTATGACCAATGAAGTCGTCTGGGGAGCAGTGAAATATTGGGTGGATGGAATACGTGGTGGCTTGAACGAAGGGCTCGGCGAGGGATTGAAGGTCATTGAAGCTCAAAACGAACCTTGAGAGGCACCCTCAAACTATGCGCATGGCCACAACCTGTTTGAGTCTTAGGCTTCGTCCATATATTCAATACTATTGGCGCTCAATGGCTTCCAGCTTTTGAGCTCCTCCCAAACAGAAGAAGTGAAGGAAAACGTCTCTTCAGGGGAATCCTCGGATCCTTCTCACACAATTCGCAGCAGCTTCGGTGATGAAGCGCTAGCTGTACTCCGGAGACACGGTACCCTCCGTCACAGCGTCACAAGGCCCGGTGCCAGAAACCGGCACTACCATCATCAGGAAATGTTACTAACGCAGGCGTCACAGCCTCGCCTGGCCTTACTCCTGCCCAGGATTGCGGATTTATCAGACGCCAGCCAGGCATGCTTCTGTCTACTTTATCGAGTATCTTGTGTACGGGGGCTCAGAAATGATGATTGAGCTCGTCTCGCTGAGACTTGTGTGACAAAACAGGACTTGCCGCTATGCTTCTACCTCAGACTTTAAAGCCGAAAGCTTTAAGTAAAAGGCGTGGAACTGGGCATTGCACTATCCGTGCATAAGATGGGGAAGAGCTCGATCAGGGTGTAGTACTCCATGATTGAGAAATTTTGTAACTTTGAATGAAGATCTTGAGCTCAATTCATCTCTCCCAATCCACCAATTGAATTTTGAAATAGAGGTATCCATGGCGCTTCTGATTAGTGACAGTGGCGTTAGCTCGGCTTCGTTGCCTACAAATGCCCGATCGTTCCCAAAGTTTTCTTTTCCCCAATGCCACCATCTCCAAGATCTCATCTTCTCCCCCGTTCCTACCAAGAGCTGAACCTCTAAGAGGCTCTTTGGTCATCTGTTCTACATCTTCTTCGGGATACGTTACATTTCGTTTAAAAGTTCAGTGGCGACGATTGTCATCTGATCATCTGACTTTTTCCAACTCAAGGCACCAAGTATTCTTCTCCGTTGCCCGGCATCTCCAGCTTGAAAGATGTCTTTCATATACAAATATATACCTTGGGTCTTCTGATGAGTTACGAAGAATTTCCGCTTACCTATGATCGAACTCTCTTTGCTCGCCTCGAATGATTCGGATTCCCAACCTTGCCTCCCAACCGTCCTTTACCATCCTCGCACGTCCAAGTCATTCCACTTGCCCGGCGTTTGCCAACGTCTCTAACACTATCTCTCTGTATCTCAGCCTGGCTCATCGAATTTGCGTGCTGGACAAGGCCTGTCTTCCACCATCCGGAAAGGTCTTCCGGTCACAGTAGCACGAGTGATATCGCTCATCGATGGGAGGACTTGATAGCGGAAATAACTATGTTTTACAAAGACAAAGACAACGCGAGCGTTCACTTTTGTTCGTTACGCTGTCCGGCATACTAACGACAGACAGAGCGACTTTTTGAGTGAGTTGGCTTCGAACAGAGTAACGCCGACCGAGGCGAGCACCGTCAATTCCACCATACCATACATACTATCGTTGCTAATGTTTGGAAGGCTCAAACTGAAGTACCGCTTGTTGCCGTCACCAGCAATGTCTTTTCCGCTGAAAATAATGGACACCATGGATCTTCTGTCAGTGTTGCCAAACATGATATCCTATTTGTTCCCAGTTTAATCTATTGATCCCCTACAGCCATCTGATGAACCACCCGCTGCCAATGTTACCATTGAAAAGGCTCCACCAAGCAAACCTGCCGCTCGCTTTGACGACACGCCGTCCCCTATGCGTGCCGATGGCAACAGCACCAATTTCAAGCCTCTGATCAGTCCCGAAGAAGTACCCCACGATGATACGATTGCTCCTCAGGATGTACGCCCTGGTTCTACAGATCCAACCCGAGAGGTACCCCATGGCCCTATCACTGCACCTCCGCATGTACGTTCTGGTACTACGGTTTCAGGTCAGACAGCATCTCGGGATACCGTGAATCCAACTCAGGATGTACGCTCTGGTGCTGGGGCGTCACCTAGGGCCGGCGTCCATGTGAAACCAACAAATGTTAAGAACCGTCAAACGCAAAACGCTGGAGGACTGAAATCTTTCTTTGGTCGTGGAAGGTTCCCCAAGGAAAACCCCCGCGATGCTATATGTGCATCTGAGGGAGTTCTATTGGGTACTCTGGCTCTTCCCAAGGCCAGTTTCGCCGCGGGTCTACCGTCAGCATCCGACGGGACGGCCACTACCCTGACGTGAGAAACGTCTATTGAGGAAGGATCATTGACTGAGCCTCGACCGCTAGCCCTTTCTCCAATCGTCTGTACTACCCAAAGCTTCATCCCTCCCTCGAATTCAGATCAGTCGAACTCAGGTGAGCTCTTGAGCACCAAGCGCATAATGCATGTGCTAATAAGGTACAGCATCGATCGGTGAGGCCAAAGGCAAGTGGCACGAAACAGAACAAAGAGAGCAAAGGGCGAAATTACCTAGACTCGACGCGACTGGTCATGATGAGAAGGCCATGCGCACCAATGCCCGGAAACTCGTTGATGACCCTCACGCGCCAAAACCTCTACATGACCCAGCTACCATGACGCCGGGCCAGCTATTCAGGCATCTCCATCGCGGGAGGACCAATGCTGGAGTCGCGATTAAACGCAAAGTTTCTATCATCATCAGCTCAAGTCTCCAATCTCAGCTCGCTCTCGAATTTGAGGTCAAGCCTGCTCAAGAGAACACCAGTTTGAGCGCAGAAGTTATGCGAGCGAGGCGAAGCGTGGACGAGCTCGACGGGCAACTGACCACGAAGACAGAGGAGAAGTTGTTCGAGAGCAGAAGTCTTGGAAGGGAAGCAGAAGGTGGATGAGGTTAATAGGCGCGTGGAGGCTTATGGCTAGTTCTTTTGCGTTTAGGTTAGCCTACTCGCTTGAATGGATTTCGTCGCAGCTAGTAATTTAGCTTTGCAAACCACGAAGATCACCTTCAATGCTGGCCAACTTGAACGTCCAAAAGCACCCTAATTACGAAGCATGAAGCGAAAGGTTTTCAAAAAGACTGGAGCCAGGATAAGCAGCCACTGGACAAGGTGACTGAAGCGATCCAAAGTACCACAGTATCAACCCAGGAAGACAAGCCAATGATCAACATGCAGGCATGGACCCCTAGGGAAAAGAAACCCGCGAAAATAATGTACGAGACGATGAGCGTGCTGGAGTCTCTTCAAAGTTGGGTGAAATCTTTTTTGAAAGACGCCATGCCTCGACCAATGATGGCGTGAAGTAGATTCTAGCCAAACCGCCCCAAACAAGGAATGAAACCATCTCCTCGTGCCACATTCTGGCTCGATCAAACAGCTAGCGTAGCAACATGACTGAAGCCTCTGAGGATATAATTCCACCATCATCCGACCATGCAGACTACATCTGAAAAGGCCCCCCTGTGAGTAGTTCTATCACTAACGCCTTTCACACTTACAGAAATCGACCCAGAGCGGTGGAATACCGGCTCCCAAACACGAATGCGAGGAGCAATCCCCATCATATAGCAATTGCACCTTGGAAAGAAGTGTTGGATAAGCAAGCATATGGCGTGGCGGCCTAGTGAGTGGGGACGATGCTGAGGATGGACAAAGAGGATCAAGCAGCTGACGCCTTGACCGTAGTCCTGCTTCAGAATCCGCCGGCGTCCGCTTTGATATCCGTGGTCGCAATCGTGGTAGCATCTTGGGCGAACCCCGTAAGCAGACGTGCCTCCGCGGCCGTCATACCCGGTGCCGCCGCGGGTGCAGGCAAAGGGCTCGCCGACTGCGGTGGGAAATATTCCATCTCATGCCCCGGCGGTGGCGAGTATACCATCTGGGGCTGCGGTGTCGGCTGGGCTGCAGCAGCGGGGGTGGACGGGGCGCGGGCGGCCGACTCCTTGTCTTCTTGCACGAGCGCACAGCAGCAGCAACAGCACGAGGAGGAGCAGCAATCGTCGCTCCACGTTCCCTGGATCTGGTACTGCGCGCGCATGTTGCTCCGGTTGGTGAACTGGTAGATTCCCTGGAGACAGCAGAGAGATAGGACGGCGTAGCCCATGCACTGGAAAACGAGACGTTAGCGGATGTATGTATCTCTTGTGGTTCTGTGGGGTTCCACGCGTTGGGTATGGTGACCTACGGGACCATTGCAATTGGATGGAGTTTTGCCTGCTCGACGGGCTTTGATGTTGCCAAAGGTCATGCACGGACACATGAACGCTTTGCAACCTAAAGTGCGGGTCCCATCAGTACTGTCCGTCTGACGGTTTACTTTATTTCATTGATACTGACATGTTCCGCATGGACTGCAGCAATCATCTCGAGGGTGTATCCAGCCAGCCATTCTTCCTTGCGTTTCAACCGTATGTCTTTGCAATAGATTGGAAACAGCTATTGTATCCGCAAAGATGAGTCAAAGAGAAAACGGCCAAGGTTGGAGAAGAGCTCGAACGCAGCAGAAGTAGGCATTGTTGCATAAAGTGACGAACGAATATTTAAGTACCGTGCTACGGTCCATAATCAAGTCACACACTCGGCTTCGCGATGGCCGAGTAGCGAGAAAAATGCGAGGCACGATTAAGGTTTTTGGCTCGCACCGCTGCCATGGGATAAAAGTTCATTGAAAGCTGAAACTCGCCGTCACAGTACAGTGATGGGGGGGGTTGGGACCAATGGACATGGTCAACAACCACTGCCAGGGCCCAGGCCCACCCCGCTTATCATCTGTATGGTATCATTGTTCTTCAATAGACCTATTCAGAGACGGGGCTAAGCTCTAGCCATCACAATATCTTAAGGTTATTTTGCACTGCAGGTTTCGTTGCAGGCGGGGACATTTTATTCACAATAAAGCCAATCAAGTAAGGCGGCCTAGAAACTGGGCACACAGAGGCTTACGACGTACCGCCAGGCGCCGTCCACTGGTTTCCGTGATCCATTCATATAGGCCTCCCGATATGCGAGTTGATAGGCTTGCGATTGTCGATCCATCTGACTGATATCGACTGATGCGCAAGCCATGCATGCTGCATGCACCTCGCCATCATGCGAGTCGATCAATCCGCCTAATGTTACATTTTGCCCCGTGGGGTTAGTTTCAGTCAGATTTGATAGTCGAAAAAGTTGGAAGATGAGACTGGGGAACAGGAAGATGAGGCTATGGATGATTGAAAGATTCTCCCTTGTCAATAAGCTTTCAGATGATCAAGTTGGCCCTGATCCCTATCATTCAGACTCATAGAACAATGATGACAGTAAAAAAAAACAGTATCAGGCTACGTTATACAACCGAAGTCTTTGATCATTGGGGATGAATCGGGCCCTACAATAGATTAGCGTATCCTGGGGGGTCATGTTGCTTATCCGAGCCCTACTTGGAGCAGTTTCCATGTTAGGCTACTGGCTAGCATGCGGCTATGAAACAGGAAACCATTGAAAGCTGAAAGCTCGAAGCAAGCATGCCATCGCTGGAACAGGGAAGATTGCGGCAGATGGGCTTCAGCCACCACAAACATGTTGGCATTAACGTTTCGACACGTCAGAACATGACATTGTTAGCACGGTACACTTACACAATAGTGCGTACACCTGCGTGACTAAGAAAGCTCTGGTTTTTTCCCTGTTTCTTAGGATGATAAGGGGCGATGACAGTGAAGAAAGAAGTATTGAAGCGGAAGGTTTGAGGTTTGGGGATGAGGGCTCCGCGGTTACTTGGCAGGGTGCATCTACTCTATCCCGCTATCACATCACACCGTCAGTAGGGTGGCACGAGTAAGGGGCAATATGGGTAGAAGAGGGTCTGTTGTACTGTGTACTCGTGGATTCCAGAAGTGAGTCCTTTGATAGCGCGAGGACACCAATAGATATTTCCACTTAGCGGCATGTCGCTTGATCTATTGGTGTCCTCGCTCTATCAAAGGACTCATTTCTGGAATCCACGAGTAGGTGTCTAAGTGTTATTTGGCTATGGAATTATTTCCTGTCACGACGCTAGCTGCAGATGTACTAGCATGATAATCGGCACCGCCTATGTTCCTCAGGGAGCAAACACCCAAGTTTTACCTAGTTGGGGGGGGCCGCCCACCGGATGAGTTGGAAGGTGCAGCCGGTTGCAGGCTAGCTATATATGGTATAGGTGCTTGGCGATGGGGCTATACCTGCAGGAGGCTTGCCTCTTCCACAGAGTCCTCTACAGTCTTCTTCTTTTTTGCATTCCGTGATTGAGGCAACATATATTTCACTACAGAGGTCTGCACCGAAAGTCCTGCACCCGCTGGTGCCGCCAAGACTCTTGCGCTCAGACTTCGGATAACGCCCCACCTAAAGGGCTACCTGGATAATGCGTCTGAAGTTCTTCGGAATCGCACCTAGCTCTAGCCAGGTTTCGGGGTTTAATGCCCCTATCAAGCCAAAAGAAGTACCTAAAGTCCCATCCATGCGCTGTGAGAAGATATTTCTAGGCTTCCCCTCTACAGGGCCGCTTTCCGAAAGTAGGGTTAGGGCTGCACTAGTGCGGGTGCAGGACTTTCGGTGCAGACCTCTGTAGTCATCCCATCAGATCTCATGATGACCGATAGAACATCTCTCTCTCTAGTGCCCGGCACAATGAGACCGCAAAGTCCGCGATCAAATCTAACCTCGCCATAGGATATTAGATTCGCGCCCTGGGCAAGCCTACTATGCACAGCTTTCAGCATAGGGAAATGAGCACGTTAAGGATGCACCTCAGAGAGCTGCTGTCTCAGATTAGAGAGAAGAGAAGCCCATGTTCGCAGGGCCAACCATGTCGAAGGGGACGCCGTAAACTAAAAAAGGGCTGAACCACGCGGCTGTGCCTATTGATCAGGCTGAGCGCCACAATGCCTCAGGGCTTCAACTCCTCAATCAATGTGGAAAACAGTACAGACAGAGGCATTATGCGGCTGTTCTCTTACGTGCTCTCAGTCCTTCCTCCGCAACAATGACACCCGCGTTCGGCTTCTCAGTGGGGGATTTCATCAGCGCCATAGGTACGATCCCTTGCCACCACTGTCCTGTCAATGGAGGAACGCTGATCTATGTGTGCTCCAAGGTCTCGTGAAAAGAGTCACCAAGGCGTTGAAGGAGACAGGAGGAGCTCCCACGGATTATCAATTAGTGGTCATCGAGCTCAAGGGTCTGAAGAGCATACTGCGACACCTCGAGACGTTGAAGCCCACCGAAGATAATGTCACCCACATCAACGCCATTCGAGGCATGGCTGTTGCGTGTCAGCTGCCTCTGCGAGACTTCATGCTCAAGCTTGAAAAATACGAGTCTACACTGAGGCCATATGCGGACAAAAGATCGCTTCGAGCGATGGTGAGGAAGTCGAGCGTTTACGGGCCATGGTTGCAGCAAAACCCATCAGCCTCAATCTCCTGCTCGCCATGAACACGTCGTAAGGCTCCACCAGAAGTGACAGACAGCCAAAGCTCACGGAAAGTGATAGGCAAACGCTCACACCCATGGATTCCCCGGACCAAGAGAAGCACAGCGACCTGATGTCAATGGCTGCCGAGCTTTGAGCTGCGTTGCACAAAGTGCAGATGTAGTTTCGTAATCAGATGATACCTTTAATTACAAGCAATGCTCAAGAAATTGAGGTACGCGGGCAGAGTGCCCTATGGCAGAAGGAATCTTCGACCACCACCAGAGACGGCTGTGAACGCACAGGCAGGTGTCTTGTCACCCACTGTTAACAGAACAGTCAGAGCGTAGACGAGCGTTTCTAACGTGCTGTGAGGTACGGAACACATCACCCTAATCTGCATTTGCGCTTCACTTCCATTGGCTTACAATCTCCATCCACAGATACCGGGCGTTCAAGATCCGCCTTCCGCCAACTCAAGGCCCTGGCGCCTCAACACGAGGCTCTAGAGCTCTTGGTGATCGAGTTGCATTTCGAGGATGGCAGTCCGAAAATTCGTCATTTTCCGATGCAGCATGTCGCAGACCACCACTGGCTTCTTGGTTGTTGCGAAGTCTGAGAAAAGTGGAAGCTTCATCATCCCAAGGGGCTCTGATAAATAACAGAGTAAGTGTTAACATCAAAGTCTCCTCACTCTATTGAATTATGATTTTCGCTGACACTGGATTCAAGCACCCCAACGGTCGCGATTGGCCTTTTCCAATTAGAATGTGGTTTTGAAACCCAAAGACCCTCCTTGCTACTCCTGAAGCCGAGCATGTTCCCGAGCTTTGAGATCGAGGCCAATCACCTACTTTCCATCTCATGAAGCTCGACTTTGCTGAAGTCCAGAACTCTCGGGTCATCTTCGCTGACTTCGATACTGACAGTCTAGATACCATGGACCTGGCGAATTAACGCTGCTGTGGGTCTTAACATTCTCACTTGTCAAGGGTTTGCAGGTTTGGTTCAACTTTGTTTTCATTTGTGTATCTGTCGACATATATACCTTTCGAGTGTACGTTTGGGAGGTAATCAATTCTTCAGACCTTTGACTCTGCTTCTTTGGAAACAGAGCATAGGATCTGTAGCGACAAGCGAAGCGAGCCAACGAGGTCGGATCGATACCAAACTATCATTACAGAACTTGCCCACCCTATCCAGTTCAACTATGCATATAATGATGAGAAGGAAACAGCGCCGTGGCTGTTACGAGCGTATTCTTAACATACCCCTCAGCCCTATAATTAGCGAGTCTTGGCGAAGGTATCTTCTATTATATTATATCTTCTTTTCATCTATATAGTTCGATATCTTAATTATCTTATATAATATATTTATATTAATATTATATTTATATTAATCTTAATACTATAATTAAGATTAACTTACTTATTTTATTTATATTAATAAACGAATTTAAAGAAATACGCTAATAGAGACTTTAATAAGAAATTAAATTAATTATTATATTTTTAAATAAATCTATTAAATAGATAAATCGATTTTAAAGAGTTTAAATAAGATAGCGAAATGATTTTAATAAATAGTAATTAAAAGATAAAGAAGATATTAAATTATTCGTATAGCTAGCGAATTAAAAGAAATAGTTAATATTATTCTATATTTTTATATTATAACGTCTAAGATTATAATAAGATCTTAATTAGATAAGAAATAATTAAGTTATAGCTAATTTAAGATATTATTTTTCGAAACTTCTCTATATATAATTTCTCTATAAGATAAGAAACTCTCTAAGCGAAATAAATATACTCGAAAAACTATTATTTAAAGTACTTATAATCTTTTTAACGTCTTAAATAATTAAAAAATAAGTATATTAAATCTCTATAAAGAAATAATCTTATCTTAAACTTTATAGTAAATATTTTTTATTCTTAATATTAAATAATTTCGATGCGTTTTTAAGAAATTTTACTATTCTCTAGTATATCTAATATCTTTAATATTTATTCTTTCAAAATATTTAAACTTCTCTTTACTTTATTTTAAATCTTCTTTTCTTCTTTTTTATAGTAAAGTTTAATATTAAAAGAATAAATTAAATTAAGACTCTATTTAAGTAAATTAAGTTTTAATAAATATTAATTCTATTAGATAATATAGTTGATAAATTTAATTTAATAAAAATATCTTAGAATATTACTAATATTCTATAACTATAATATTAAATTAAGTATTAACTTAATAAATTTATAATTATATTAAATAAGATTTATTAGAAGTAAGACGATTTTCGAGAGATTATTACTCGATATTATATCGTTATAATAAAAAAGAATCTAATTATAAATAATTTATTTTAGATTTATAGAATAATCGAGAAGATAAATTAACTAGTTTAAGACTTTTAGAAGAATATAATTTCTCTATAGCGAAAAGTTAATAATCTTAATTTATAGTCTTTAAAAGATTTATAACTATTCTTAATTAAAAAAAAATGTATATCTAGATAATTAAAAGAAAAATTAATTAAAATTCTAAATTTATCTCTATTTATCGATAATATTAACTCTATCTAAAACGACTAGTTCTTTAAAATAAAATAGAAATTTAAGATTAATAGCGATTATTATCTTATTAAAAACTCTAAAATAATCTATATAATCTTATAATTTAATAATAAGATTATATAATATATAATATATAGAAAACTTCGAAACTCTATTAATTTATATTAATATTTTATTACAATTATATCTAAATTAATTAATATCTATAAGAATTTAAATTAATATAATAATATATAGCGTAATATATATACTCTATAGTAAGAGATCTAACTCTTTATCGATTTCTATTTAAATCTTATTTAATTAGATATTATTCTTAATATTAAAAAAACTCTTATATTAAAAAATTACCTTTTTAAGAAATTAAAAAAGAAATTAAAAAAGTTATAATAGATTATAGAAGGTTTTACTATTTTAAAAGCTATAAAAGAATATTTTTAAAAGCTAAATAACTTATAACGTGCTAAATATAAAGATTTTAAGTTTATAAAGATTACTATTAAGTTAATTATAATACGAATATTAATAATAATACCCACGATTAATATATATCTTATATCTATTATTAAATCTAATTTAAATATAATTACTACGTCTTTAAATATTATAATCGATTTAAAATTAAGAAAGCTAATATACTATAACTATAATAAGAAAGACTACTATCGAAAGAACTATATAATAATTATTTAAATTAAGATTAATAAAAAGGTTTTCAAGAAAGCACGATTTTACGCGATAAAGATAGACGAAGAATTTGAAATTAGTAACGTCGATATCACGGATAGCGATAATTCTTTTTTAGATTTAGAAAATAAATAGTCTCTTTTAAAGTCACGATAAGAGATATTTATAAAGTGTGTTTAATAGATACTTTTAATAACGCTTTAGTATATTATCCTTTCCGCATAGAAATTACGCTATATTTATAAAAAAGAGATTATTTATTTAAAAACTCTCTAATAGATAGTAAATATATCGATATTTATATAGTTATAAACGAATTTCTAGTTTTAGTAATATATAAAGTCTTATATCTAAAACTACTCTTACTATTAAGACTTAAATTATTAAGAAATTATAACGACTAGATTGTAAAATAATTAATTATATATTATTTATTCTCTATTATAATAGTAAAAGACTATTAAAAAGAAATATATTTGATATTAATTATATTATTAAAATATAATATAATAATTAAAAAATTTTAAATAAATAAATATAAGATAATTCTTAATATATTACGAAATAAGATACTCTTTCTACTCGATTAATATAACTATAATAATAATAAAATATTAATAATAAATAAACTCTCTTTTCTATCTACTTTAGAGCTTCAACTATTTATATTACTTATCTCTTTATCTATTATACTAAAATAATAAAGTTTTCTCTTACTTATATACGATAATAAAAGTAATTTAAATATCTCTTTATTAAATAAGATTAAGTCTATTAATATCGCTAAGATTAATATAGTAACTTATTACTAACTAGTCTATAAAAAAGATAATAAGCTATTTATATTAATAATAAATAAGATCTATAACACGTCGCTTATATTATATATACCTCTCTATACTCGAATATCTCGCGAAACTTATATATTAATTAATAAACCGTATCTCTATAACTTAGAAAAGAAATATAAGAGATATTATAGTTTTAATTATCTTATTTAAATTAATAGCGTTAACGTAGTTAATTCTAAAAAGATAAAATGTAAATTATTTTCGAAGTATTATAATTATCTAGATATTTTTAATAGAACTAAGACGAATATACTTTTTCTATACTATCTTTATAATTATTAATTAGAATTTAATAATAGTTTCAATAAAATTAAACTCTCGAAAAGTAGAATCTATTTAATATTAGAATATAAATTAAAATAGATAAAGAAATATCTAGATAAATATCTAAAGAAGGAATTTATAATATTAAGTTATATATTATTTATCTTATTTATTCTATTCGCGGAAAAGTTAAATAAAGAACTATATTTTTATATACATTATCGAAAGCTAAACGCGATTATTAGAAGAAATTAATATCTATCTTTATTAATAGATAAGATTTTAGTAAGAATCTAGAAATATAAATATCTTACTCGATTAGATATTATAGCTATATTTAATTAACTATATATATATTCGAATAGTAAAAAATCTACTACTTTTATTACCTCTCTTAAGATATATAAGTATTAAATTCTCTTCTTTAAATTAATTAATAGTCTAATCATATATTAATAGTATATAAATAATATTCTATTTAAGTATCTAAATGATTTCTACTAGATTTATCTCGATAATATACTTATTTATAATAAGATAAAAAAGAAATATACTTAATATATTAGATAAATTCTTTAGAAATTAAAAAATATTAGTCTTTAGATAAATATTCTTAAATACGAATTCTATATTTAGAAAACTAAATTTTTAAATTTACTAATATCTATAAACGAGTTATAAATAGACTTTATTAAAATCTAGACTATTATTAAGTAAACTATATCTATTAACTTTAAAGAGATATAAATCTTTATCGAATTTTATAATTTTTATTAACG